GCCTCTGGCGCCAGCCCGCCGGCATGACCGGAAAAGGGTGCGACGTGTCGCAGCCGTACGACACTGCGGGCCGTGCAAGCCCTGCTGCGATGGGACGGGCATTCCCGCTCCTCGTGTGGGAGAGTCGTGAAACCTCAGATTAACCCCCCGCAGGCAGGCTTGTGGGTTGTAGTGCGCCGTCACTGTGCTGCTTGGCACGTCGGAGATGTAGGTCTTGGCGTGCCTCTCGGCAGCATTAAGGGGGCTGTGCCTGCCAGGCGTTGGTGAACCTGCGAGACGTAAAGAATTACAGCTTTTTCTGCTCTTCACGAACGTCTGGAATTGGTCATCCTGCGCGCTGAAAAAGTCGGGTTTTGTTTTTCTGCTGGTGGCCTTCAGTGATGCTGGTGCACCACAGCAGGCTAGGAGCAAGATGAAATAGCTTATGAAGAAATGTAGCTGTTATCTCCAAGACGTAAACTAAACTTGTCTCGTACCCAGTGTAACCCTTCCCCCCTCCCCCCTTTTTTTTAAATTCTGAACATTAATAAGGGCTGTGGCTTTTGAAATCAGAAATTGTGTGTAGTGTAGAATACAGACTCACTAAATGTGCTGATTTGTGTGCTTCAAAATGTTGCATAGCTTGAAACAATATTTTCTGAATACATCCAGAAACATTGCAGCTGCCATCTGCTCTCGAGAATACTGGAAATTTTCATTGCTTTCCGAAAATCATGCTTATGTTATTGATCTGTGATTGTGCGAAGGTGTGCATAATTTCTTTGCCCGGGTCAAAGCTGCATGAGGTTTTCCTCAGCTCTGCTGGCTAAAGCAGTGTAACCTGAGCTCTGTGCTTGACTGAGAACCAGGCCATTGACTTTGAGTAGTGACTTGAGAGCACATAGCCTACTCAGACTGCCGTTAGTACAGGGTATTTTCTAGAATTACTTGCAGTAACTCAGTTGATTTTTACCTTAAGCAACACAGAAGGTTAGAACTGCTTTTAGAGTTTAGTTGACCATAGTGAATGATGTTTAATTCATTTTGTTGACTATATGGAAGTCTTTTTAGAGGTGGATGGAAATGTTACAAGGAGAAATATAAGGGAGACTTTTAATCATTAATTGACATGCAGAGAAAAGGAGATAAGTACAGAGTCTATGTGGAATTAAGCCTTATCGCTTTGCTGTAGTTGAATCTAAACTTGCTGAAATGAAGGTTGGTTTACCATACACTGTAGGACTTCCTGTGATTGTGCTTTTGTTGGATACTACTGCTCTCTCCCCTAGGAAACTATTTGCTACCGGTCTTCGGCTGATTAAATTCTTTGGCTCAGTTTGTGCCTCTCTGTGGACCACCTGAAATAGAAAAACTACCTACAAAATGATCAAGTCAAAATAAGATTTATATAATTGGGTGCACATTAATTTCATTAATCTATTTTTTGCTTACTCTCCTTCTCGGGGAGAAACAAGCACTTCATCAGAGATTTGAAACTAACTTCCTAAAGGTAGCTTAAAAAAGCGTAGATCGGAGGTATACAAGGTAAGACAGCGTTAATGTAGGTAACGTTTGGGCTTTTCACCACCTTTACTCTTGGCAAAAGCCATAGTTCCTCTCAGTAGAATTAAAAAGCAGTATAGTCACAGAAACCTTGCTGTGTTGATTGACAAGTGAAAGCATCCAGGAAATACCTATTTCAAAGAACATAAGGAATGTGTTTTTAAGTATGCATGGTTTGTGGCATAACTGAACTAGGAACGGCCAGATGTTTTGCTGTTAAATGTGGTGATGGGTAAGTCGGAGGTGCCCTCTGGTTAGTAGTGGCAGAGTGCATGCTCGGAGTGGGTATCTGCACGTCATGGTGGTTGCAGTAGCAAGTCCTCGTTCTGTGGTTGGCCGTTTGTGCTGAGAGGCATAGCTTCCTTTTCTCTTTGCTTTCTCTTCTCTTCTAAGTTCCTAATTTTAGATTTATTTCACGTAGTTAGGTACTACATGCAGTTTCTGATTGATGGTAATTTTGGTAATTGCATAAAATTAGTTGGGAATCAACTAGTTACTACAGATAGTGATTCATATTTCAAAAGTGATGCCTTTCCCTCAATTTGAGAATGTCTGCAGTAGAGCCAGCCTTTATATGTTATTTTTAACTAATCTTTTTTCTGAAATACTTGGTGCTGCTGAGAAATATAATACGGCTTCAGTCACATAACTTCAGCTTCTTTGAAACTGGCATGCTCTCTTTGACCAAGGCAATATTCAGACATAACTGGAAGATGATTAGCAACTGTTTGCCATTCGTTTGTCAAACAGGGTGTTAACAGAAAAATGAAATAATCGTAAATGTACTTTTTATAGGCATACATGCCATCAGCTCTGCTAGTTATATATATGTGGAAATGATAAATCATCAGCCTAATTGCATATTAACTTGCTGAAAAGACTGTAGCTTTTAAACAGTACTTAACACAGAATGATCAGTTTCCTCATAGTGACAGGTTTTGGTAAGTAAGTGTTTTGTGTTTAGAAATTAGAGGACTTAGAATAATATTTTGAATTTGCTGAAGAAAATCAACCTCTCTGCTTATGTTTGGGTTAATAATTCCCTTAAGGATGTATTTAGTGGGGCGTATTGATTTACTTCAACTCTTGCCTTTCTCTGAAGCAAATTATGTTTTAACTGTTTGCTCTTCCTTCAGTGCCTTGCGTTCCATGATATTTCACCCCAAGCTCCAACACATTTCCTAGTGATTCCTAAGAAGCCAATTGTCAAGTTGTCTGAAGCAGAAGATTCTGATGAATCTGTAAGTACTCTATGAGCTTTCTGTACATGAAACTGTACCACCTCGAATGACTTCATAACTTACTAGACTCTCCTGCTTTTCCTCTTGACATTTCAAAGAGGCAGAATATTTTTTTTGTTACTACAGTCCTTTTCCTCTAGCTGAGAATGGGAATGGTGTTAAGGTTTTCCAGTAAAAGTAGTGATAGAAAGCAAAATGTGTCTCTGGATATGTATTTGCAGTGCAAGATGCATTGTTATTTTGGACTAAAGGCCTGATGCCTGTTTTCATGATTTGTGGGCAGTAGTGCTTACTCTGATAAGGGCCTGGGCTTTTTGGCTGATCAGAGGTGAAGAAAGGGAAAGCTAGCTGATAGATACTGAATATGTCTTTGTTAACTATGAAGTTCAAAGATTCTGTAAACCTTTACATGATAAGTTTCTTTTCCACCAGAATTATATATTGTTGCCTGAAGAAGTAACAGTGGCTTTAATCATGAGATAAATTCAGTTTCCATGGTCGTTTGTAGTCTGTTGCTGTCTAGCTTGAAAAAAATATTAGCTCTTTGTTTTCCACCTGTATTATGCATAGTCAGTCTTCATAACTTTTCTTGGAAAGTGTCAGTTGCAGGCAGCCAACAATTTGAAGAGCAGTGGCTGAATTTCGAAGGATTAGTTTACTGGCTTATCTGAATGGTTCTCTGCTTTTCATTCCTTCCCTTCTTGCCCTCTCCCCTTTTTGTGTGTTTTCTGTTTGTTGTGTTTTTTGTTTTTTTTCGGTTTTGTTGTTTTTTTTTCTTTCTTCCTCCAGCTTCTTGGGCATTTAATGATTGTTGGCAAGAAGTGTGCTGCTAACCTGGGCCTGACCAACGGATTCCGGATGGTTGTGAATGAAGGGCCTGAGGGTGGGCAGTCTGTCTATCATGTGCATCTCCATGTTTTGGGTGGTCGCCAGTTGGGCTGGCCTCCTGGCTAAGATTCTTACCCCACAAATCTTAACTGCACGCCTACAAATTACCACCAAATAGATTTCATGTGTTGCCCGTCAATCTAGCCACTGTTAATGTAATTATTTTTTTTTTTTTTGGAATGTGTGTCTCTGAAGGGTAATAAATGCTCTGAACAACAATCGCACAATAAAGATCTGTGGGAATTGTCTTCGTCTGGTGTGGCTTATTGATGATTTAATTCACAACTCTGTGGGTTAATATGGTGCCGAGTATGTAGTGTGTTTCAGTCTGCTGTTCACCATCTTCCGCAGATAGTGGTGTTCTGAGTCATTTGAAAGCTGCACCTGCTTAGCAGTCTTTCAAGTCTTCTGCGAAGAAAGCTTCTAACCTTTTTGAATGTGGTATGTAAATATTCATAAAGCCAGTGTAAGCTGCTGCTAAAACCTTTTTTAAGGGTTGTGTGTGAAATTCCAGACATGCCGTGCAAGGGCTGCCTCAGTACAGCGTGTTGGAAACGTACAGCTCCCCTTGGAGCTCTCTGTCAGAGCTGCTTTATAAGCCCCTGGCTGTCTGATGAGCAGGGGTAAAACAGTAGTCTCAGTGCCAGCTGCGACAGTTCCATAGCACACTGGTATTTACTTCTGTGTCATGATCTTGATCAAATTGAGAACTTGAAAAGACTGAACTGTGCCTACAGAACAGTGTCAGATGACCAAGGCATTTCAGCTTGGCACTTGGGCAGCATGATGCAGTCTGTATGTATTTTAGATTCCAGCTCTATTGGGTGGACTTTGTCCTTCAGTGGACAGTAGTTTCTCTGTCTTGCTGCATACAGTTGCTCATGCAACACTGTCATCGAATCTCCAAGGCAGTGAATGTTCCTGGAGTTAGGGTTACAGATATGTCTGCCAGTGAAAATACATAGCAACCATTCTTTCTGTTAAAGTTGAGAAGAACCAGCTAACTGGTTTTTATGATGGAAGACGATTGGAAGCATTTAGGCAGACATTGTGACACAGATGCATTATTTGTGAGCACCACTTCTCCACAGTACAATTTCAACACCAAAGTTGTTAGAGAAAGCAGTGTGGGAGGTGTAGAAGGTGGACAGGGGAAGCCTGTAAGTTGTGATTTCTGTTAGATAAAAACTTGTAAGTTAGGTAGCAGCATTTGAATTCCTTTATCTTGGAAGTATTCTGTAAGTGCTTCTGAAGGTTCTGATGCTTCAGAGTTTCTACTCTGACATGACTTCATCTGGAAAATCACCTGGCACTTCTGAAGGCGGCTGGTCTATAGTTGAGTTAGGAGTAAAAAGGTGGCGCTGCAGCGGTAGCCTGACAGCTGTTCTGGATGTCTTGCACAGAAGGGAAGAAGAAAACCGCTTGATCCCCAGAGGTACAGCATGCCTGAGCAGACGACTGAATGTGTGTTGCAAGACTGAGGTGTTGCTGTCGGATGCAGTGGGGCTAAGGCAGAGGTTATGGCTGGGAAACTTGCTAGCAGAACAGGTTCATGGAAGGGCATTTAAAGATGTTAGATGAACCACTGACACCCCAGGGTGGGAAGGACCATGTGACGTGTACTATTTTCACTTTGCTAGTTTCTGTTCTATGTGTGTACTTTATACCAACATTGGCATTTGTGAATTAACACATGACTGGGGAAGGTAATTGCATCACTGCTGAAGCCTGTGTGAAAGTAACCCACTAAAGTTTTTGTTTTTTTATTTCAAATCTGACTTACGGACAGACTTGTTTCAGGAGGGTAAGAAGCCTTCAAGTGAGGGCAGAACCATGGAATTGGTACAAAGATGCTTTGAGGTGAGCTTGCTACCCAATCTAGTTGTGCTTCAGTTGCAGATGGGTGTGTGCTGCACGACCTTGAAAATCAACGAGTAATGCTCAAATGAGTAGTACTGAGTTTAAGGCACCTGTCAGACAATGGTGAACACAATGCAGGACAACATAATTGAAGGAAAAGTTTCCCTAATTTGTGGCTGTTAAGGGATCACTGAACCCTGAGGAAATGGGAGAAATGGGTGTTAGGACTCTCACCTGTCAGTTTGTTGATAAAAGGTAGACTTCAGCCTCCCTGCCATTCAGTTGAGCCACAAGTCTCTTCTGTGGCTGAGTAATTTGCTCTGGCACAGGTGCTCCTACAATTTCCAAGGCCAGTTACAAAGTGAGATGTTAACTACATCACAGAGAGACAGGAGATTTCATCGCAGGTATTAAATTTCGGGGGACATGGGAAAGTAGGGTTATCCTACATAGCCTTCATTCTACGTTACTGACGGATCTGAGACACCCACTGGAAGATGTCTTGGTCTCTTCTATTTCTCCACATAGTCAAATGTGGTTAGATGACAAAAGCCTGTAAGGAACCCAAGGACTTCACCTTTCTGCAATCTTCACAGGCAGAAGGTGGAAATTATTTACCTGATATAGGTAGAAGCTGATATATGTTCTGAAATTGAATTGCTGTAGTGTTTGTGTCCACTTAATTGAATGATCGAGCTAGGCAACATCTGTCCTGTGTCTGTGTAAACTCCCGAGGTATCTGGAAGGTGTTCCTGCTTTTCAGAGGTGAGGATGGAGTAGGGAGTGTGTAGAGAAGCAATAGGGGGAATTTTGAAGAAGCTAGATACGGCTTATAGATTCAGAAGGACTGGATTATTACTGAAAGTTACAGTGGTCTCTGCTGGAATTTGTCTCATCATACAGATAATACCACTGTTAACGTTGCTTCAAATCAGAGACAGCAAATTGATATTAAGTAATAATCCACTCAAAAACCTTGCCATGGAAAATTACTGGTAGAGAAACCTTACAGATCATGTATTTAATTTTTTTAAGCATTTAAAAAACAGTAATCAAGAGGTATGTGTACTTCAGTATTTTGATTTGGATTGGAACTGTTCCTTCAAAGTGAATTTGGCTGTGTTTTAGTTTGGTTTTGGAATGGTCTTGGGCTGTGTGGATTGGATTCTTCTTGACTGAACTGGATACATGACAAGCCAAGCCAAATATACTCCAGCCACAAATAGGCACTGGAGTCCTAGTCTGGTCCCCAAACTAGAATTTGACAAAAGAATAAAACCCAAAATGCTGAAATGTACGAAGTATGGCTATTGGATTCTCACACTAGCTTTACAGACTGACTTTGCTGATCTGTACTGCTTGCTAGTGAATTATTTCTAGTAAAGGTAACATCCATGGGGTGGTGATAAGGGGATGGAAAAAGAGAGCCTACACAGACAGTACAACATGAAACCCAGAAGATTTTGGCCTGAGGAGGAGGACTCGGGTTTTATGACGGGATCATACGGAGAGGGTGAGTTTGAGTCTGAAGATATTTCATTGTCCTCAGGATGCCTGAAAAATGCTGAGAGTAAAGTGACAGCTTTAAAGGATGTGTCTCCAGCTTACAGAGCAACACAGAATACTCCAGTATTCAGGAGTCTGAAATGTTATGCGAAGTTCATTATTTTTGTGCAGGTTGAAGTAATGATTACACTGACAAGAGGATGGCTGTGTTCAAGCCCTCTGTGTCTTTTAAGTCCGGTTTTTATCTGCTGCGTGTTCCTTAAGAACTAAACTAGGCGAGAAGGTTGGTACCTTCAGGAGTGAATGACAGGGATGTGTTTGAAAGAGCCATGGAAGACTCTGAAGGGTCCACGTTAGCTCCAGGTTGCTGTGGAGCTACAAGAGTTGCTTTTTCTTTAAAGGGACTGACTGTACTTGGACTGTTCTGGGACTTAAAATTACGCAGAGACCCAGGTAACTCTGGTAAGTGTTTGAGAGAGGGTGCTGAGCTACATGTGTGATATTTGTGTCCGTTTTTAAAATGTCAGTCACAGAGTTCGAACTAACACCTCCTAGGTATAAAGTTTTGCATTCTTTTAGGTGTTGAGCTGTCTGTCCAGTTTTGTTGGGCCAAGCTGACCACAGGTACCCATGCAGTTCTCGAAAATCCCATGACAGTAACTCTTGCAGATTTGGACAAGCCATCCTGATGTAGGCTACAGTTCTCTTATTTTCTCGTTTTTGTGTGTTACTGTATTGTTTGTTGGTACCCACTTTTGTGGACCAGATTGAATTTCTTTTGAGAGTACTGTGTTTAATTTTTTATTAGGTTTGTATTTGCTATGGATTTAAATACAGAGTTCTGTCTTCATTCTGTCTTTTTCTTCTCCAGTTATTGGGGAAGGAACAGCCATGGCAACAACTTCCTTGAGTTTTTAACAGACACGGAATACCTGTAATAAACTCATCAAAATGTAATCTTGTTATTTCCAGTTATGAGTTTCTGTCCCTTTGGCAAACTGTAATAGTGTACTTTGTAGCTGAGCTTGAAGAAACGGGGGGAAGAACTCAAAACCTAAGTTAATACTGTTGGGCAGAGCTGTCTGCCAGGGTTGGCCACAGGTACATGCCCTATACCAGTCACGTAGGAGTTGAAAAGGAGATGTGAGCTTTATTTGACTGTATTGTGCTTATACCTGACACCTGGGCTAATTACAGTGCTGCCAGGTGGAAAAAAACTTGGATCTAAGCCTAAAATGCAATCTTCCTGTGTAGAAGTTGAAAGAGAGTAGTGGTTTAAAGACAGATCACTGCTTTAGTGACTGGGATAGAAACATGACCCTCTGGAGATAGGAAATACCTGGAGATCCAGATACTTTTGAGGGGGAAAGACAGTCAATGTTTTCTTGATTCAGCAAAAGAGAAGGTTCTTGAGAGAAAAAGCAGCTAGAGGTTCTAGAAGAAAGAGACTAGCTCTTCTCAACTCGTGGTAAAAGGAAAAAAGAACTGGCAATCCTGTATGCAAAAGGTAAAAAACGTAAGTATTTGCCTGATGAATGTTGCGTGTTGGAAATCCAGCAACGTAGCCAATTAAAGTGTTACTGAGTAGATGTGAGCTTGCTTAACATGGTCTTGCTAAACTTGGTCAAAACAAAGCCTTACAGGAGGCAATGTCTGGAGGATGTGAAGCGTAAAGGGACAGAGAAGGCTGGAGCTGTATGACAGAATGGTCTGGGTTGGAAGGGACCTTAAAGATCATCTAGTACCAACCCCCTTGCCATGGGGTTGGAAGGTCTCCCCGGAGCCTTCTCTTCTCCAGGTTGAACCAGACCAACCAGGGATGGGGCATCCACAGCTTCTCTGGGCAACCTGTTCCAGTGCCTCACCACCCTCTCCGTG